AGCCCCCGGTTCTGGATTTGCAATAAGCAGACCAGGTGGTTCTGAGGCAATGTGACCACGGACCACACCAGGAGAAACACTGAGGTAGTGGGAAGCATGCAGCCCTGGAATCTGCAAATCGGCAAATGCGACTGGGCAGAAACGCGCTGAGTCAGTTCCCCTGCCTGTAAAATGGGGATGGGAAGAGCTCCACCAGGGGGTCCTGAGGATTAAATGAAAGGGTATGTGATATGTTGAATCATACCACAGATGCCCCACCTGTTTGAATGGCTGTTAGGTGGAAAACAAAAATGTTATGTCTCCAGAGGACAACTAAGTGGAGAAGGAAAGAGTGAGTGGCAAATTTGGCCCCTCAGGAAGCATTCCCTAATAATCAGAACCATCCAGCATGGACCAGCTCTACTGGAGGCAGCAAACAGAAAGCCTTCCGTCACACCAGCTAAAGGTATCAAGATGAGTGCTCAGGTTCCCCCAGCCGGTAAGCAGCTGGCAATGTGGATCTCCTGTACTTCAGGGCCACTAGCTGTACAGCTTGGCTTGGCCTTCTGAATACATACAGAAGGTACACCCCCCCCCAGACCTGCTCGCCCTCACATCCAGACTAAATTCCCCCAATCCTCTATGCCCCATACAAAACCTTCTCTCATTAGGCCCTTGTCTGCTTTTGCAGCCTCATTTCTTGCCTGTCCCCTTTAGTTCCCTTTATCTAGGCACACCAAGTCTGGAAAATTCCCAGATCTCCTCTGCCAAACCACCTCCTACAGACCCTCTCAGCCCTAGATGAATCCTATTTACCCTTCAAAATTAACCCAGTCATGGCTTCTTCCAGCCTTTTCTGCTCTCTCAAGCTGAGCCTCTTCAGTTCCCCTGGTGGCCCTGGGAACACTCACTCCTCTTCTAGCACTTGCCATCTTGTTTATTAATCCTTTGCCTGTCTGTGTTCTTCCAGTCAGGACTTCCTTTTCCCCTGTGTCATCACCTGGTCCAGAGCCTGGCCTAGAGTGGTGCTTAGAAAATCTTAGTTGAGTGAATTAAGGAGGGGGTGTCAAGCACTGCTGTTTCCTACCCAGTGGCAAACCGAGACCCTATTCCTTGCCTGGGTCCCATTAGTAGGGTGAAAGGCCAAATATCACTTTTTCAGTCACCGCTGCAGTTAGTTCATGTCAGTGAGGTATTGGAGAGTCTAATGTGAAGGGGGTGCTCTAGGAAATGTTTTCCCATCCCTCAGTAAATGGAGGGAGCCTCGTTGAAGTCCTCCTCACCCCCACTCCTTCCTGACTATGGACAGGGTTGTATGAGCCAAGATGTCTCAAGTTGCCCAGAGAGTCTCAGAAATGGCAGTTAGTGCTCTGAGACCTCTGAAACTCTTGAATCTCTTGCCTCCAGAATTCTTACTTGATGAGCAATAAATGTCCTTATGGTTTAAGCTTGTGACTCTGCCACCTATTCCTTGCAAGTCCTCAAGGAAGTAACAAATAGTTCCAGACAAATAATGTGATGCTCTGGTTTGGTCTGCCAAGAGACTTCACTGCTGACTCCCTCATGTGTGGTCCAAGGAATACCACCTGGGAGAAGTAAAGCACAGGTACAAAAAGGAACATCAAAGACTATCAGAAAAACAGTATTGGAAATGATGCCTCCTCAGGAGGGAACAAAAGAAACTAGCTGAGGAAGGGTGGGGTGAGGCAAGCCCACTGGGCCTTGACGGCAGCAAATAGGGTAAAATACCTCTCATTTGTGACTTCCTGAATGATTCAGGCAAGGTCACAGAAACTTAAAATTGTTACCATGTACTAGCTGCTCATTTTATAATATGAAGGGTCCCTGACCGAAGTCAGTTTTCCAACTACACTGAATCCCTTTGGACCTCCCACAACCTTAGCCAAAGAAACTTGTAAATTAGATATTCATTGAGTTACTGGGCATATAGAATTTAAGTGCTTTATAGATTATTACCCATTTCTCAGCAGGAAGTGTGTTTGGAGGAGCAAAAGAAGCTGCCTATGCCATGAATAGATTCTATCAAACACAATGGTAATATATCTCACTGCTTTAGCTCCAGGCTTCACTGGCTTCCCATGACTTATAAAATCCAAGTTCTTTAACTTGCACTTGAGACATTCCACAGCACAGTCTCACCCTATCTTTTTCCACCATTGCTTTCACATACTCAATATTTAAAGCTACACAATACCTATACATGAATATTGTATATGGTTCATAATTTCTCACCTTTTTATTTTGGCTTCTTATGTTCCCTCTACCTTCAGTGTCATTCTGCCCTTTCATTCATTTACTTAATAAGTTCATTGTGTTGTTACCAGATGTCAGGCACCATGAAAGGCATTGAAGATGCAGCAGTTAAAAAGACAAACAAAGGAAGCCAAGGATCAGATCAGCAAATTAGAAGACAGGGTAGAGAAAAAACAATCAGTGAACCAAAAAACAAAAAACAATTAAAAACAGGACAGTTGAAGAGAACAGTGAGACAACATGATGTGTAGTGATATCCACATCATAGTATTGTCAGGAGGAGAATAAAGTGAGCAAAAAAGAGNTGTGAGACAACATGTGTGTAGTGATATCCACATCATAGTATTGTCAGAAGGAGAATAAAGTGAGCAAAAAAGAGAGAACCTGTTTGAAGAAATAATGGTAGAAAACTTCCCTAACCTGGTGAAGAAAAAAGCCACATAATTTCAGGAAGTACAGAGAGTCCTAAGCAAGAAAAATCCAAAGAAGCCCACACCCAGACACATCATAATTAAAATGCCAAAAATTCAAGACAAAGAATCTTAAAGGCAGCTAGGGAAAAGCAGTCTGTTACCTACAAAGGAGCTCCCATAAGGTTGTCAGCTGATTTCTCATCAGAAACTCTACAGGCCAGAAGGGAATGGCATGAAGTATTCNCCACATAACTTCAGGAAGTACAGAGAGTCCTAAGCAAGAAAAATCCAAAGAAGCCCACACCCAGACACATCATAATTAAAATGCCAAAAATTCAAGACAAAGAGAGAATCTTAAAGGCAGCTAGGGAAAAGCAGTCTGTTACCTACAAAGGAGCTCCCATAAGGTTGTCAGCTGATTTCTCATCAGAAACTCTACAGGCCAGAAGGGAATGGCATGAAGTATTCAAGGTACTGCAAAACAAGGATCCGACACCAAGACTACTCTATCTAGCAAGGCTATCATTCAAAATAGATGGTAAAATAAAGAGCTTCCTAGACCAAAAAATAAAAATAAAAAGAGGCTAAAGAAGTTTATCACCACCAAACCAGCACTGCAAGAAGTGTTAAAGGGACTGGTAAGAAGAAGAATAGAGAGAGGGGAACATAGCCATAGAATAAAAATGGCAATAAGTAAATACCTATCAATAATAACCTTAAATGTAAATGAATTAAATACTGCAATTAGAAGACATAGGGTAATTGAATGGGTAAGAAAACATGACCCATATATATGCTCTCTACAAGAGACCCACCTCAGAAGAAAAGACTCACACAGGATGAGAGTGAAAGGATGGGAAAAATTTTTCCATGCAAATGGAAATGAAGAAAAAAAAACCTGGAGTAGCAATACTCATAGCTGACAAAATAGACTTCAAAATGAAGGTCATAATAAGAGAAAGAGAAGGTAACTACATAATACATATGCAGCCTATAAAGGAGCACCAAAATATATTTTTAGAACTCTTGGAAGACTTTAATGGAGAGATCAAGAGCAACACAGTCATAGTAGGGAACTTTAACACCCTACTGACTTCACTGAATAGATCTTTCGGACAAAAAATCAACAAGGAAACAATGACCATAAATGACACACTAGATCAGATGGACTTAATTGACATCTACAGAACATTTCATCCCAAAGCTGCAGAATATATAGTCTTCTCAAGTGCACATGGGACATTCTCTAGGATAGACCACATGTTAGGACACAAAACAAGTCTCTACAAGTTCAAGAAGATTGAAATCATATCAAGCAACTTATATCACAATGGCATGAAACTAGAAATCAACTACAAGAAAAACACTCAAAAACTTTCAAATACATGGAGGCTAAATAGCATATTATTAAACAATGGATGGGCTACCAATGAAATCAAGGAAGACATAAAAAAAATTCCTGGAAACAAATGAAAATGAGTACACAACAATCCAAAATCTATGGGACACAGCCAAAGCAGTCCTGAGAGGGAAGTTCATAGCACTACAGGTCTAACTCAAGAAACAAGAAAAATCTCTAATAAACTATCTAACCCTACAACTAAAAGAATTAGAAAGAGAACAACAAGAAAGGCTCTCAGTAGGTAGAAAGAAGGAAATAATAAAGATCAGAATGAAAATAAATNGGCTCAGAGTAGGTAGAAAGAAGGAAATAATAAAGATCAGAATGAAAATAAATGACATAGAAACTGAAAAAACAATACA